TTTTTTTTTTTTTTTTTTAACCAGTTGCTCCAAAAATATGGACGCTGTTTTGAACGAGTACGAGAATCTGTTGACAAATCCAACGAGTCAAACGTTCAAGAAGTCGCAGAGCAACACTTTATCGCCGAGGCTATACGGGGTATCGGCTTGTAACGGATCAGCGTACGCTCATTATCACTCGCGGAAAAGGCAGCCGAATACTCATCGACGGCAATGCAGGATCGAGCAGGATCAGGTGCATTCGATCATGAAGAACATATTGCACTCGGGTGAAAACGACAATATATGTTACGAATATCCGAGATCTATGAAGAATAGTTACAAGAAGGAGAGCTATTACATGAGGGACGAGCATCATCAGGTAATATGCTAATTGCGTACTTTGAAATGTTTTCGTTTCGAAACAAACGATTTTCGACGATTAACAAACGTGAATTTTTATGAAACGCGAGTTGGGCGACCACGAGGACGCCGACTTGTTGTACACAAGGGGCAGATTGAGATTCAACTTGGCCGGTAAACACGGGAATAGAAAGAAGATGGATTTGGAGGAAGGAGCGGAGGAAAATCGGAACGTGCAAGGGAAAAAGAAAAGCGACCCACTGCCGAATAAACTTTCCATCTTGAAAGGGTGCGCCTCGCAAACTTCGAAAAATAACGGGGAAGAATTGGCAAGTATTATTCCTTTCCTCCTCCTGAATGAATTATACAAACGAATTTCGATCGATCAAACGACATATTTTTATATCTTCCAATTTCTATCCCAGCCCAAGCATAAAAGTTTGGCAATCGACACGAACGATTACGCGAAGGAGGAAGAGTTGCCAAAGGAAGACGAGAACGCCCGGCCTGTCTGTAAACCGTGCCAACGATCCACCACCCGGCAAGATTCACCTTGCAGTCCTGGAAAAGAATCGACGAGCAACACGGAGGAAACGAGAGAGGATAGCTCGTATTGCGAGTTGGCCGTTAAGGACGAGGAACAAGATATTCCCAATAGGAAGAACACGTACGCTGGAGGGGATTTAAATCCTGATTTTAATCTTCGAGCGACTAAAAGTTACATCATTGGTCTAATCGATCGGGTTCTCAGCAAGAAATTCGCCACTTCGCCGGGCCAGCAAAAGGTTCTCCTTCTCGAACGAATGGAATAAGAATATGAATTGAATTTAAATTATTCCCTTGCAACCTGTCACCTTTCCTCTTTTCGATCTCGAATATTATTTACTTATTTTCTTTTTTTTTTTCTCTCTCTGCTTCTTTCAGAATACAGAATCGAATCGAGAATTAACAGAGCAAGGATACTCTGTGGAGATAGTACGTGCGCTTCGCGGTGATTGTTACGAATTGTTCACAAAGGACGTGTCCAGCCATCACGAGACACCGGCCGAATGTATAAAGCGTTTGAAAAACCTTCGGTGGCAGCACATGCAACACATTCAAAACGAGTTTAAAAAACTTTGCGATCTTCAAAAGTTTCTGGACGAGTATTCGCCGAGGGAGTCCCTGCTCACGTTTCAACCGAACACGGTCGAGCAACGGCCGGAGGAACGACAACCGCAGCAACAGCAACACGAGGAGAAGCAGAATTTAGGAACGTGATTGATTGATTTTTTTTTTTTTTTTTTTTTTTTTTTTTTTTTTTTTTTTTTTTTTTTTTTTAAGCGAAGATTTTTGGTACTTTTCAGGATATCAAATATCACACAATAAAATGGATCTGCTCGTATTCGACGTATCTCTATTCAGCATTAGAATATATTAACGCGACAACAGGGAATAGAATCTTTTAATACTTGTTAACACATCCGCTCTCCGTTGGAGTATATATTTCTTTTTTATCGAATTTTACTCGAGGCTTAAAACATCGTGACATTTTATTAGTAGTAAAACATACGCGATATAAAATAAAATAAATATATATTTATATATATATATTTATATATATATATATAAAGAAATAAATACTTTCAGGGCGACAATTCTTTAACATTTTCGTCCGCAGTCTCCAAAATGAAAAATGCATCGATACCCTTGATATCGATTGATTCTGGTCCCGAATGAATTTGCTTAAAAAAAACGTTCTTGAAAAGAAAAAAAAAAAAATATCTTCCGATACTTCTTCCTTTCTCGTCTCGTTCTTTAGAAAATTTTCTATGTACAAAAAAAAAAAAAAAAAAAAAAGAACCGATTAAAATCTCGTGTTGTCCGGTATCTTCACGAAATACGCGACTTTGTCCTCGGCGACCCTGTAATTATGGATCCATCTGGACCCCTTTCTCAGGCTGCCGTCGATCCCGTCCCTCCAAACGCCCGCAGGTAAATAGATCTCCCTCTGCCTGCTGCCCGAATGAAGGATGGGCGCAACAATAAGCTCCTCCCCTACGGAGAACTCGTCGAAGACGACCAAACAAGCGGGATCGGTTGGATCGAGCATCCACAACGGTCGTATAATCGGCAGGCCGGTGTCGAGTGTCTCGTTCGCGTATTTCTTAAGAAAAGGGGTCACCGTTTTCTGCCTCAAGCTTGTCAATCTCTTCGCTATCTCGAGAACGGAATCGTCCGAGTATTTGCTCGGCAAATGGGTGAATCGTATGACGGGGAGGAAGGTGGACAATTGCAACCATCTGATGTACAATTCTTTGTCGGGCAGGTTCACCTCGAAGTCGTTGTCGGGATTGTTGTCGGACATGGGGAGGGCAACGTCCCCGCCAACAGCGCCCGGCATGATGAACGGGTAACCGAGTATCCCGTAGGTGAGAATCGTCGGTATGACGGTCTTGATCGCCTTCCACGAGGAGGAGAATGGGGGAAGGGAGACGAAGACCGGGGCTCGAGGCCTGGAAATCGCCCCCGAGACGCCGATCACCGGCACGGATCCCAAAATCGATTTCGTGAATATCGTTTTGTAGTGGTCCGGGTTGATCAACGGTTGGCCGCATTTGTAGTAGTGAGGCATGTCTTGAGCCGTACCCAAATCGAGGTAGAACGAGTCCACGTGATACTTGGTGATCAAACTTTCGAGCTTGGACTGAAGCCAAGGAAGAGTTTTATTGTTCGTAATGTCGAGAACGCCTATGCTGTTGCTCTGCTTGTACCTGTGCAACAATGAACGAGATCACTTAGATACAAGTGTATATAATAATTAAGAGCCACCTCTAATTTCGCGACTTTGAAACGTGTCCTCGTTACGAACAATTTCTTTTCTCGAGAACGATTAAGAAAATATATTAATTTAAAACCAAAATTTACAATACACAGAGTATATACATTTATATATACATTTATTATACACGGAGAAAGAAATACGAACGGTACGTGTTTCAAGAATCGTCGAGATGGAGATCTTTTGTTCCATCGATTAACATAGAAAAAGAGAAGAGAAAGAAAGAAAATAATTTCACCTGGTGAGAGCGGGTATTCTTGGATCGCTTCCTCTCTCGGATATCAATAACCTATTCGATACCGCGTCTTTGAAATTGATGGACTCGGTCGATATGAACGGTTGTATAGTAAAGACGATCCTAAATCCCCTACGATGAATGATATTGATAGTTTCCTCCATCGATGGGAATCGTTCCTCGTCCAGGACGAAATCGCCCGCGCTCGGTTGCCATTCCTCGCTCAGCAAAACGTGGCCTTGGCGCAAGAACGGCAAAGCGATCACGTCCTCGGTGTAATTGTAAACGGCTGCCTCGCTGGTGGGCGATATTTGCCAGACCGGCTCTGTCAACAGTGAATGAACGGCCGACAGTTCGTCCGGCTTGAGGCCGTCCCACAAAGATTTTTCCGCCATTGACGAGTGCAAATTCTTCATGTTGTCCGTGGCGCATATGGTGTAATTCAATTGAGGATAAGGCGTGAGGTAATTGACGTAAGCGAAAGCGTCGTGTTTTGCTTGCAGGCAAAAGTGATTGCTTCTGTTCGCCCTGATGGACACGTAGAGCGGCGTTTCCGGGTCGACGAGTATCGTGGCCCCCTTCGAATTCAAGAAATACCTCTTCAACACGTTACCGAACGGATGTTTGGCGATGTCGCCCGTGATGAACGGGCTGAGCTCGAGGCGGCCACGCTCCAGGGGATAAGGCATGTTTTGAACTTGCCCACCACCGTACCAATGGCCCCTTTTCGGCGACCAATCGAAGCAATCTTTCGGGTTGTAATGGGAGCTCAGGCTCTGCCAGGTGACGTGGTAACAGTGCATGTCCGGGTGTTTCGTGTGGGCGAGGTACAGACGCGCCTGTTGAAGCCACTCCAGGCAAACCGAGTCCTCCCTCTGGTAATGGGACAGGCAAGGGAAGACACCCGTGTCCGCTGATATACCTTCGCCTAGCCGCGCCGATATCACCTCGACCCCTGTGCTGCTGTACACGTGCATCACCCGTTGGTTCTTATTGAACCTGGAAAACGTTCACACCGATTAATCAAAAATTCGACGTTGTATATATCTAAATTTATATGTGTATATATAATTTATATATGTATATAGCTAAATTAATATATGTATATATTATGTATATACCTAAATTTGTCGAAATAGGCCCGTTGGAGAACGTGTTGGGTGTAATAAATGTGCGCGAATCCTACGAGGAAAACGACGCAGAGAAACAATATCCCGACGAAAGCGCGGAGGCTGGAAACAATTAAATGGAATTAAGTAGTTAAGAGATTAATCATAATTGAAAAATTTTATTTACCGATAATCGGCGTTCTGCCTCTTCTTGCTGCTGCGCAGAGCTTGGGGAATGGACAACTGAAGTTTCTCCTTGAGCAAACTGCTGATACTGTTGACGCTCGTTATTGTGGAGGTCGCGCTCTGCCCGCCGGATAATTCCATCGGATCGTTTCCCAATTTTTGGTTCATCATTGACGACATGGGTCTGCTCTTCTTTCGAGGAGGAGCTTGCAACGGTACTCTGGAGAGAGAGAGAGAGAGAAAAGAAATATAATAGAAATAGATTTATATTTCGAATCGAAAAACGAATTCTTTTTTCTCCTTTTTTTTTACCTTTGAAGGGACACCGCACTGTCGACGTCGTATCTCGGAATCATTTTCTTCGCACGAACGAAACGTTCGTAAAATTCGATCTCGATCTCGAAAAAAAAGTATGAAAAAATTTTTTTGAGGAAGAAAGCGAGGGCTTCAAGATTCAAAATCTCGCGAGCGAACACTTTATCAATGTCGCCAAATGCATCGTTAATTGTACGATGGAGAAACGATGCGCAAGACGCAACTGCGCAGAAATTTGTTTGCGCGTAAAAGTCCGTTTAATGGTCGAATACCGACTGGCTATTGACGATTGGGAAACACGCTCGATCGTATTCGTGTTGCGATAACCCTGAAGCGATATAAAGGTCGAATCCAAAGACAATTCTCTCGCGGCGAGCGTACGCCAACCAAACGCACGATACTGGTTTCAACTGGTAAAAACGGAGAATTTATGCGTGATCATCGGTATTCGAAACGAGCATTCTTCCTTTTATTTCTTTCTTTTCAATTTAAATCGTTTAAAAATAATCTCGAAGAGAAAAACGAAGAATTTACGCCCGAGCATCGATATCGAAGATTCGATATTCCTGCTCTCTCTCTCTCTCTCCTTTCCTTTTTCTTTAAATTAAATCGTTAGAAGAATAATCTCGAAGAGAAAAACGAAGAATTTACGTTTGATTCGAAACGAATTATTCTCTCCTTTCTTTTTTTTAAATTAAAAATAATCTCGAAGGATAGGATAGGATTTGTCACTCACTTGGCCAACTCTTCGTCGTTCGCCTCTTCCTCGGTCTCAGAACCGAGAGGACTTCCATTGGGCGTTGAACCGCTGTTGCTGAACGTCACGCTGCTGCTGTCGTCGCTTTCCGATCTCGTGAACTTTGAGGCGGTTCCCTACGAAAATTTGACCACTCGTGATCTCGGGCTAACGAGGGACGAGGATAAAACAGGGAGGACGAAGGATAACGTATTTATCCCCACCTACGAACGAGCGATAAACGCGTTTGTCCTACGATCGGGAAAGTAGGAGCTGTCGCTTCGAGCGGCATTCGAGAACTACTCTTACGGAAACGTAGAACGGCAGAGTGAAGGTGCATAGGTTGACGGATGGTAAATATTACGCAATCAGACGCGCGCTTTTACATCGACGAAACGACTCGATCTTTAACGGGTAGGGGAAAGATCGAAACTTGGATTTGAAACGAGACGTTTTCCTCGTTCGAGATTTGATGTAATTTTAATAATGGAATTTGTATGAATTAACCAAGCTAATTTATATATTTTTACAATGCGATATATAATCAGAAACGTTGATACAAAATAAGTAGAAAAATATTAATTCGTAAAAAAATTTGTAATATTTCATGTTGATTATTACGCATTGAAGAGAAAATATTTCGTGAAGTTCTTTTATATCTTGTTAATTTGATTGAAAATAGCCAATGGAAAATTATATAAATATGGATCTGGTGAACAATTGTCTCTGGATAGATAATCACATAAGTGAAGTTTTTACTGCAATTGAAGAATGATTTCTTATCCTATTTTCAAAGAATTCATCTTCCTACTATATTTCAAATAAATTTTGCTTTATATTCAAGAATAAATATCAAGTATGAAAATAAAAAAACAAAAGATAATTTATCATCGTATTTCCAATTTTATTTTTCCAGCGTTCAATTCAGTGTTGTTCTTTTTTTTCAAGGAAATAGATAGACACATTTGTTATACAGACAATTCAACGACATTTTCTCATTTATATTATTTTTCAAAATAATAAACAAAATAATTTTATTTATATATATATATATATTCTCTCGAGAGAAAAATATGATTTTTATCTCGTTTTATTTATAGGATCTTTAAACGGATAATCGCGACAAGACAATATATGTCAATGATTATTATTCACGGTAAAAGATACACACCACGTTTGACTTGCAAATGCTAGCTGGAAGCTACGTATACGTTTACAAATATATATGTCGAGAAACAGACATATTTTTTTTTCTTTTTTTTACTACTTTCTCATTTACCTTCCGTCTCTATCTATTCGAAGATTCTTTTTTTTTCTTTTTTTCACTACTTTCTCACTTACCTTCTGCCTATCGATTCGAAGATCCTCCATCTCGTCTAGATTGGTGGGCATCGAAGTGCTTGTTTTACGTATTCGCGTAGCGTACAGTGTCGTAGATCTTTTAGGCACCCTTCCTTCCGTATTTTTGTACTCCGTAATTTTCGTAATCTTGTCTGCGGGTGTAGGCGTGACAAATATACGTTCTTCGTTACGTTCCACCACATTCGAGGCATCTGGAAAATTCATCTTGTCATTCGTTACGTTTCGTTTTCTCATAATAATTGTCACAATAACAATTAACTATTAAATTTATTTTATCAAAGAATTTCAAATAATGATATTCTTTCGCGATGTTAGGAATATTAATTTTCGATTTGTGATAATTGAATCGAAATTTTATATTCGATATTGATTATAAACTACTAACAGGGCCAAAGTGGATTAACATTAAATCCAAAGACAAACATGAAAGAATTAGTACAATTAATCGCTATGATCCGATGATTAATTTATGATAATAACAAGTACAATTTAATTCTCGATACAATTAACGATTAAATAATTCGATCCTTAATCGTATCGTTTAATCTAAATCGTTTAATCCTCGATCACAATTGATAATCAAATATTTCCAATATCATAATCAATTTAATTGTATCAAACATTGCCAACACTGAATCCATCTCGTATCTCGTCATCGTTATTTTGTTTTCGATATTTCGTTTCTCGATCGACATTTAACCTTTTCAATTAAGTCCCTTAACCAACGCGAATCGATGTATTGATCGAACGAAATTAACGGGGAAAAAGAGAAAAAAAAAGAAAGAGAGGAAAAGAAAAGAGAAGAATCTTAAATGCGCGAAAAATGTGCGACTGTCCCGAGGACAAGGAGGATGGCGAGAAAAAAGTGGAAACGGTGATGCTTTTCAAAAAGTGTCAAAAACCTTACCGCACCACCAAAGACATCGTCAAACCGTCCAGTTACGACACGGTCTCGGACAAAGATCTCTGGACACCCGCCGATTCCTCCCAATCCACCTTCAGATACACCTGCGATTCGCCTAAAGGATCCCAGTTCACCAGCTCCTTCACCAGCTCCTCCAAAATAGTAAACTCTCTCTCTCTCTCTCTCTCTCTCTCTCTCTCTCTCTCTCT